CCTAATCAAATACTGAAAATGCCATGTTACTCCCACCGGGTCACTTGGAATTCCTTAGCCACCTGTTTCCAGGTTTCCAGATCAAAAGAAGGGATGAGACCTTTATTAAGACACGTGTCCCATCCGGTCCCACCGCCTCCCTCAGGGGGGCTACAAGAACACTTTGTTGCCTCCTAGTTCTAGTGGCTATAGGGGAGTCCGGGAGGGTTCTGGGGGAAGAGTCTTCCCTTTTGGAGGGCTCCCTTTGTCCAGTGGTAGGACTCCCTGCCCTGGCTCCTGATAATGGTCCAGTAAATGAGCAGAAGTCTTAACTTCAGTTAGTCTAGTACACTGCTGTCCTACACTGCATGCGGAGCAACAGCGTTTTATCCCTCCGCTTCCTGCTGCCCGCTGATCCTTTTCTAATGCTGACACTAGAGGATCTCGTGGTGCCCCCATCCCACATTCTCTTTGCCACTCAGGATGGTTCCTGAGGGTAAAGAACATATCAGCGTATGCTGCCTCATCCCATTTACCTTAAAAATAGCATCAGTTGCAAATGATATTGTACTTCAATGTCCCGTTCAGGGGCCACTTTTCCCCATCATCCAATTTATACAATAACCACCATTGAATACAATATTTTATCAGTTTTCTTGCTTAGAGTGCCCCCAGGACCCCCTGCAGTATTTCACCAGTGTACCAGAGCACATCCGAGGGATGTTCTTGTAGGTATTTCCTTTCCCTGTGAGCCTCCCATAATGTTGTCTCACTGGTTTGTTGTTGCCCTAAGGTTTCCACAGGTAATTCTTCATACTCTAAAATTTCCCCACTCTAAAATTTCTGGACGCAAACGACACCACCAACCCCGATATATTTCTTCACACACTGGATGGCAAATGATATAAATGGGGCAACACTCATTTTCCAGGTGGAATGCACACCTTTCCTCAGACCCCTCTTCCCAATTTGTAAACTCCCATCGCTATCCTAATCTGTAAGCTTCATACAAACACAAAAACACGTATGGACGGACAGATGACACAAAGAACAACTTGTTGCTTTGTCCATCCCTGGCCGTTTCCCTGGTGGGAGCACGGAACCACAGCTCAGGACTCCTCTTTCACTCCGTGTCTCAGCCACGTCTCACTCACACCACATGCACACAGTGCCAGCTGAATCAATCCTGCACGTGCGCCGTGGGCAGTGGGGTCTCCTTCTGGTGGTCAGGGGATGAAGGCTCACTGTCTTAACAGAAGTAATCCCATCCTGACCCGTTCCTTGTGTAATGTTTCTTCAAGTTTACAGTTGAGTTTCGTGATGTTCTTTTCTTATTTGGCCTCACATCCTGCTTACCTGCATTCCTATACCATAGTTAACCTCCTATACCATAGTTAACCCTTATCTTGTCCTCTCCTTACTCACATTCCTATACAGTGCTTAACCCATATCTTGTCCTGTCCTTACTCACATTCCTATACAATGCTTAACCCTCAGTTTGTCCTCTCCTAACTCAACACATGCTTCCCTTTTGTCTCTGGGCTTTTATAGGCACAAAATTCTTGCAGAAAACACACGAGAATACAACAAGAAAAAGATTTGTTTTTTAATGCTTTTTGCTCAGTGCGGAGCTTTAAGTTTCCCTCTTTAAAACAACAGGAATATTCCAAACGTGGTCAGAAAACACATTTTTGACAGAGGCAAAAGAAAACCCAGTAGGGTGACTCTGAGCATGCAACCAGGCACATAGTGGGGTTATTTTGGAAGCTGGTTGAGCGGCGACTCTTTCTGACCACATTGGGCTCTGCTGTTTTTTTCATTCCTTGTCTTTGCATTTTGCCTGAAGATCTGTAGGATGTTGAGGCAGTTCTGCCTGCTGGGCAGAATAAAAGTCTTTCTGAGTTCTCTCTAACGCTTGTGCATCATTTTAGGGAATATTTTTAGAGCTGAATATTTGGAAATACACATCTGAAAGCAAATAGCTGTGCCGTGATACTGCTTACAGCAAACATGGCATGTGCCAGGCGTTGAGTTCCAGCAACACGAGCGTGCTGCCTGAAATTGAGCAAAGGAGGCAGGGCTGAAATCAAGAAGTCACAGAGGATGCTGAAATGCTGAGATCTTGCCTCCCATCGTCTCCAGTTGCAGACTTCCACGTATGGATTGGACCGTTCCCTGTTTGGCCACTTGTAAATGGCTTCTTGTGTGCTCTAACAAAACATGTTCCACACCTCTGCAGCCTACACACACTGAAGCATCTTCCTTCCTTTGGGTGAAATGCTCTCCTGGCCATGGATGCTGCTTGACAGCAGAGAATCAAAAGATTCCCAGTGAAATTTCCTGTTGGACCAACCTGACCTAATGTTGGGGGCTTCTGCAAAGCCCTCACAAGTACTGTTTCTCCCCAGAGGTGCCTGTCAGCAAGACACGAGGGGGAAATCCACCCCACATGGTGCACTCCTTCCCTCCTTCTCACATGCTGTCACCCAGGCTGCAGGGAGGGGAACTCCACACCACTGCTGCTCCTGTGGCAGCTCAGACACTCTGCGTTTTGCAGGATGTGAGCTGTGTGTCTGTTGGCAGCGTATTCTCATCAAAGAGAAACACTCTGTCTGGTGGTATTCTGTCTTTGCAGAGGGATGCCATCACCCATTTGTGGGCACGGTGTGTGTGTGCAGGGGATGGGTTTGTACATAGAAGTTACTTTTCACTTACATGGCCCAGTGGTATGTATGTTGTTCACGCTGTGATTTTTTAACCTGGCCACAGTGTAACAGCAGTTCAGCCCTCCAAGAAGCCTTACCCGATTTCAGATTTTACCTGCCAGCAGTGTTGTTGAAATGAGAGGAGGCTGAATGCCCAGGCTGCCACATCTGCACGTTTGGCAGAAGCTGAAGAGGACTCGCTTTGGGCACCATTTCCTCCCCACCCCTGACCAGCAGCACACCTCGGTCACCCTCTGTCCCCATGTCCCCCCAGTTGGCTCCTGGCCCCATGTGCACCGTGGGTACGCTGCTCCTGTATTGATACCATTTTGTGTTCTCTCCCTTTAGATTAGAGTGTGTAACGGTCTCGTTACGCTAATTGCCGCAGGTAAGAGCCGTGCTTCCCGCAGGCCATGCGTCGCGCTCCATCGCTAACGCTCTCGTCCTTCTCTTCCACCTCCTCCTCCTGGTGCTCTGCCCTTGGGTTTGGGCTTTGTCTCTGCCTCTCACTAAGGCTGGGCTGCACATCTCACCTGGCTCCTCCTGCTTTGAGACCCCCCTGCTTGCTTGAGTTGTGAATTTGGAAGGGCTCGAGCCCTCCGGTGACCCACCTGCGAGCCAAAAGGAAATCCATTTTAGCTAACAGCCAGCAAAGCTGCTTGTTGCTTCTTACAACTCCTAATTCCATACTGCCTGTGTACCCTCTGGAGCAAGCACAGCCTCAGAAGGGCCAAAAAATAAAAGGGTGAATCCTCCAAAAAAGGCCCTTAGCAGCACCTCGCCCTCCGAACAAACTTGCAGGCTTCCCCTGTGAGGAGGCGAAGCAATTAGAGTTTGTGCCAGACGGCTTGCAAGTGGAATTATAATATTTGTATGAAAGCCTTTATCTTTTGTGGCTAACTCTCGCTCACTCTGCAGCTGCTGTCTCCCTATCAATCACAGCCAGGGGCCGCACGCGCAGCTCAGGACTCGCTGGGGGAAGGCTGGGACTGCAGGAATGTGCGGGGCTGCGCGGCTGCAGGATGGACGTGGGGCTGTGGGACGTGGGGACGGGAGCTCCTGACCCACATCCTGCCTGCAGCCTTTCACTCACAGCGAGGCATTGTGGGGAGCGTGCATGAATATTGCTGCAGCTCGTCCTTTTGGGGGAAACTGTATTATTTTGACCATCTGCCATGCCGCTTGACTGCAGGAATGTAAAGTGTGACACCTCCCTCGCACCCCCTCCTCCCCGCGCTGTGAACAACACCGCAGGTTTTCTTTTGAATCCTGAACTGACAGCTCCACATTTTTCACAGAGAATGCCTTTGCACATTAAGTCATGTTTTTCACCTTTTTTTTTTTTCCTTTTTAATGCGGTATTTCCCTTTCAGTCAGTTGTCTTGAAATATAAATCTGGGACTGAAAGGTTCCATTTGAAATGCCGACTCCAGGTTGTAAACCAGCTATGGGATTTCAAAGGAGCAGAGTGGGCTTTGGACCTCAGCATTGCAGGGTTCAGTGCCTATTCGCCAAAATACCCACAGTTACATAGAGCAGGGCCCCAAGATTTAATCCTTTTAGTGAGGAAGCAAAATGAGGCTCAGCCTGTGCTGGACATTGAATTTCCAAGCTCTGAGCAGTCCCAAGATTCATGCAGGTTGTCCCACTGTACTGGGGACAACACAGCCAGAAAGCCCGGCTGGGAGCAGGCAGCAGGAGGCACAGCCCACTGCTGAGCTGGAAGTAGGTTTGTGCCGCGGCACACGGCCATCGGAGCGCAGAGGTGCTCGGCCGCAGCCATTAGGTTGGGCTCCAAGCACTGCTCCAGGCTTGCAAGCACCGGGGCACAGCACTGTACCTCTCCCTCCAGGAAAAAAAACACACAGAGACTTAGTTACAACAAGATTTAAAAATACTGCAGCCCAGGGGAGCTAATGAAATAACACTGACACCGAGAAACGCCTTGGGATGGGTGGAAACCCCAGCAGCAAGAGCAGCGCTGTGTTGCAGCATGCGTCGGTATTCCCCGAGCGCGTCTGCACCACAGCCAGGCAGGAGCTGCACACACTCCAGCTTTATTCACTGCCCTACAGTTAATAGCTGTCCCCTCAGCTGTTCTCATTCAGACAAGCCATTAGCCCCGACCTGCAGCCATAACCGCCTTTGGGGAGGTGCCGGAGAAGGAAGCCCGTGAGCACGGTTCCTGATGGGGGTCCACTTGCAGTAGTCAGAAAGACCTGAGGTTCTGTATCTGCAGAGCGGCTGTTGGGATGCGGACACGCACTGCTTGTCCCTGTCCTCAGCCCGCCTTCCCCTGCCCGCTGTCTCTTCCAGGCTGCCTCACCGCCAGCACCAGCGCCGACCTCGCCGTCCCCGCAGGAGCAGAGCCAGCAGAGCTGACCTCAGCGCCGCGCAGCGCCGGCACCAAAGCCTGCGGGAGGCTCCGCCGCTCCGCCAGCGCGCTCAGCAAGGCTCCCAGCTGACACCCTGCACCCTCCAGGGAACCCCTCGCCACGCACCAGGCTCTGCTCCTCGCCTGAAGGACCCCCCGCTCGGGATGGGCGCTTGTTGGAGGGGATGGGCAGCAAGCACTTTTCCCCCCACCTCATCGCACGAGGGCACGGAGCAGCGCTGATGCCCGTTGCCTCACGTCGTCTCAGAGCACTGATTTCAGTCATTCCGTCCAACGAATTGTGGACCGGGGAGTTGTGACAAAGCAGAACTGAGCTTTGTAATCATGAGGCACGTGCCGAATGTCCTCCTCCAGAGCATGGGCGAGTGATGGGGTGCTGCTCAGCATCTGTTCCACCTCTGCTCACGTCCTGTTTTCAGCAGCCATCCGTGGCAGTTGTTGTGCACGGAGCAAAGAATTAGTGATAATCAGAGAGGCCCATTTATCTGAAATTCAGGAGGCTGCTGCCAATTTCATAGAATGGCAGCACCTGCTCTGAAATCGCTCCGTTTACCCGTGCTATCTTGTTCAGGGTCATCCATCACCACCTATTGTGGAGCATCCGTCCCCACACCGAGGATGCTGTGGCAGTGCACGAGCTGGGCTGCTCTCCGTGCTGCTGCCCCAGTGCAGGGTGAGCCGTCCCCTGGCTCCACATGTGGTTTGGAAAGGAGTCCTCTTCCTCAGCCCTGCCCCCAGGGCTGCTTCACCCTCCACAGTAACGCTTGCAGTGGCTGTGCAGTGTGAACTGCTGTCCACATGTGGAGAAACACCCAGCCACGTTTCTTTCAGAAGATGAAATGCTGCACATCTGCCTGACTGCTTCTCACCGGGGTGTGACTCACTGCGGGACGGCGCGCTCCCCACGTCACCACTTTGCCTTTTCACAACACTGGGGCAATAATCTGCAAGGGGAAGCATCTCTGATGAGCTAGAATACAAACCCATCTGAAGGCTCCCAGGGAAATGTAACGTCCTGATGGCACTTTGTGTAGTAAGCAAATCTTTTGGACGGGAAATGTACTTCACTCTGCACATGTCACAGGTTTCCAGGGTGAAAACTCACAGCTCCTGCTCTAGCTTCGGGTTTTGGATGTTGTGGACACTGGTGTGTCTGCCCAGTTCCTGGGTGTTGCAGCAGATACCTCCGGCCTTCCTCGTCCTCCTCAGGTCTCACTCCCGTTGCTTTTTTGTTCAACTGTTGTTCAATTTTTGTGTTTTTGGGGTGTTGTTTTTCTTTTTGAAACGCCACTTGGCCTTGAAGCGCACACCTCTGAAGTCCATGTGATGTATCGAAGTGATGGGAACTGAAGCAAAACGCCCCGCTGTGCCGTCTGCTTTTGCACTTCCTACACGTTCACACGAAGGACTGCTGTCGTGCCACCACTCCATGCTGCTGCCGGCTGGATGCAGACAAGCACTCCGGGCACTGATGGCGGCAGCCCCGCCATGGGGCTCCACGCAGCAGTGAGCTGACGAGGCGCACGGCTGGGGTTGGGGTGAGCGCAGCGCTGCTGCAGCACGGAGCTCCGCGTGCCGAGCGCTTGCAGTGCCGCTCCGCCTGCCTGCCTCACCCTTTGCTTTTGTTCCCTACCGATCGGGGGGGGGAAGTTGGAAAATAAAATGTGTATTTTAATTTATTTCGTTTTTCGCAGCGGAACACGCGAGGCTGTCTTGTTCTTTAGTTACCCAGTGGTCTGAAATCATTTCAAAGGCGTTCTGAGTAAAATGAGCCGTTTCTCTTTGGAGCAATACTCATCCCTCTTTCAGGGGAGGATTAATAATATTTTCCCGATGTCAAAACAACATCGACTTGTGAAAATTCAGCATTGGTTGCATACTGTGCAGTCAGACACGGAGCTGCTCCGTTCCCCCTGGTGCCTTGAGCAGAGTGAAGCCACACCGTGATGGTGCACTGTGATGCTGGAGCTGCCATCTCAGCCAGGGCAACTGTGGGAGAGCGGGGAGGGCTCTGCTGGGCTGAGACCTGCAGAGCTGCTACTGAACGTCACTTCTGTACGGCTTAGGGACAGCTAACTCAGAGGATTCTCTTCTAGTGAATAAAAATTGATCACAGAAATGTGTTTGTCTGTTTCTGTCACCACCTAAAGGAGAGGTTTTGTTTCTCATAGGATCACAGAATGGTCGGAAGGGAGCTCGGCATCAGTGACAGCACCATCGCTGGCTTCTTCGGAAGGGGCTTGGATGCTCTCACTAATAGTAATTACAGAGCATTACCAAGCCCCAGAAGACATTACTTCTATAGCATTCATTGCAGGAGATGCGTGATGACAAGGCTGCCCTTCCTAAACCGTGTAATGCCTCATTGCTGCGAATTTGCATGGGCATTAGAAACAAAACCTTTCTAGCGGCGATTTCCTGCTCTGCGGAGACATCGCTTAAGAAAATGAAGGGGGTTTGTGTGCTCAGTCATAATTATGTCAGGGGTGCTTAGGCATTAACACCCGCTTATGCCAGCGGGAATGATACGGGATTATTTGGCAGTGGGAAAAGCTGCTGTGAGATCTCTCTCTCTTTTTCTGAAGTTCTCACTTCAATCCCTGTTTGCACACCTTGCCGTGTCCATCAGCTGGGCAGGGGGAGCACGGCATCGCCCCGCTGCTGCACCCAGCGTCAAGCTGCTACCGCCGGCAGGGACAGCCTGTGGGATGTCACAGAGCACATCAGCTGTGTCACGATATGCATCAGTTACACACGAAAATGTCATTAATGGTATATGCATGCTGTATAATATTGAGTGCACCATGTAACAGGATATGTGATAAGCAACCTGACCTACGGGGTGGCAACCATGGCCACAGCAGGGGTTGGAACCCCAAGTCCTGATCCTAAACCTCACCCATAACCCTAACCCGGACCTATGTTGCAACAGCCGGTCCCAAGCTGTGACACTCAGTCTCATGCCGTGATGCCTGCTCCCACATCACAACTCCCCGTGCACAGAGCCATGCATTGCCCGGCACTGCAGGATGCTGGCACACCAGCAGCAATGTCCGACAGCCCCGCAGCTGCTTTTCCACTCATTTAGAATCAGCGACAGCTTTTCAGCAGGTTGATGGGAAGGAAAGGAAATCCGAAGGCAAAGTTCTGCGGGCCCATTTCTGGATGATTTCCTGCTTCCCGCCTCCCTCCTTTCAGCAACCAGTGCCCGGTGCTGCTCCCAGTGAGCCCTCCCAGCCGATGGCTGCGGGAACGGCTGCTGGTCCCAGCCCTGCTAAAAGAAACGCTGAGCAGCGGCACAGCAGAGAATCTCAGCTGTTCCCCCACCAGCCGCCCGTGCTGACGGCACCGCGGGGAGAACTGCGCAGCGCATCGCCCGGCGATGGTGTCGGAGCTGCATTTCTCAGCACCCTGAAGGTTCCTGTAATTAACCTCCCCGCTTCTTTTCAGTTTGCAAACAGTCCATTTCAGACCATGTGTTCAGCTCTTTGTGCGCTCCGACGGGGGCCAGATCCAGCATTCTGCAAAACAGGCCAACAGATCGGGCCGTGCATGCAGCACAGCCTCCGTACCTGCGCTCCCACTGCCTCAGAAATGGGAAATTGCCTTTCAGGTGGGATCAGCATTTTCTCATGCGCCCAAACCTGTTCTCTCCAGCTGAGCTGGGAGCCCTCAGCAGATTGATTTGTTAGCTGACAGGAGGCTTTGTTTGCACAGCGCCGGCCGCTCCTGGCTGCCGGGTGGTGAAGAGATGGCACCGGGAAGGAAACACCTGGTGCTCCCCAGGGCTGCGGGGCCACTTCGTGTGGGGCTCACAAGGGGTGAACCCCAGTTTTGGGGGGGATCTGTGGCAGAAACTCGCTTCCCCAAACCCTAAAACTGCCCCTCTCCGTGCTGCTCCCCAAGCACCAGCCCCTACCATCACATCCCCCTGCATCCAGCACGGCAGCTGAGCTTTACCCCGACGTTTCCCTACCAACCACGGCAGTTGATCTGATTTTATCTCACTCTTGGCTACTGAGAAGCCAGCAGCAACACGAAGCAGCTATTTTGGTTGGATGGTGCCGCAGGATGGGATGCTGCCCCAAGACGGGTGGCCTTTCAGGCCTCACCGATGGGCCTCAGTGCCCAGCAGGGTTTCAACACAGGCTCAGCTCCTTCTCTTTGAGGAGCTCCAGGATCGTAGCTGCCCAAGGGAAGCAGCACACAGCAGGCAGCCCCAGAGCAAAGCAAAACTCACCAGCCCCATCCTGCCGCCCGCATTTTGGGTGCTGCTGGGCCACGTTCTCTTCTGCAGATCATCAGCTATGACAGCTTCGCCCAGACCTGACGTCAGCCCCAGCAGGATGAGCTCGGTTTCCTAGGAAGCACAGCACAGCAGCCCGCTGCTTTCATGCTTTTTGGCACTTTTTAGCCCAACCTTACAAGGAAACCCAAACCAAAAAGCAGCGACGGCAACTCTCTTTTTCTCCCGCACAGCTGCTGCGCACACACTCCACTCTCCTCAACAGCCACAGCAAAGCTCAGTGAGGGCATCCCCTGCCCCACACCATAGGACACAACGGCCTCAGGCACCTCCAAGCCGAGCAGCCCCACGTTCCTTCCTTCTCCCACCCTCCATCGCTCCATAACGAAGGCAGCCGAGCGCGCAGCAGGCAGGCAGAAGGCAGGCGTGAATTGGAAAATACTTTTATTTGAATAGTAAATAATTATACAGTCGAAACAGTCCTATCGAAGCACTCTATAAATAGCTAACAGGTACGAAAATAATGTGTGTAGAAAAAGAGATTGCATCTAGGAGTGAGAGCTGTCGGCGGCGCGGGCGGACGGGTTAAGGTCACGTGGTTTATTTCCAGGTATAAAAGTTAAAACCTTTATAGAAAAAAAGAAAAAAGAAAAAAAAAAAAGATCACAGTGAGATGGTGGGGCCGGGGGGCGTGGGGAGGGAATAAAAAAGCGCGTTAGAGCATCTGCGATCAAATAATATCCATCTTCATCATTAATATAAATAAATAAGGAATAAATAATAACGCGAGGACTCGACCCAACACATACAGACGGCGCGGCGCGGGCACGGCACGACTTAAGGCAGTTCTACGCGTCCCGGAGCGGAGCGAAGGCGCCGGCGCTGCGCCGACCGAAGCCTCGCCTCTCCTTCGTCCTCGAGCGCAACCCGAGCGGCCGGGGAGGGACGGGGGCGACGCGGGGCGCAGTCCGCGGCTCAGCAGTGCGGCCGCAGCGGCACCTGCAGCAGCACCACCTGCCTGTTCTCGGACGGGTGGCACTTGTTGATGTGCCGCGTGAGGCCGGGCGAGCTGTAGAAGGTGGCGGGGCAGTACTTGCAGGGGAAGAGCTGCGCGGCGTGCAGCAGCCGCAGGTGCCGCTCCTGGCTGCTCTTGCTGGGGAAGCTCTCCCCGCACACCGGGCACGGCCGGGGCTCGGCGGGCTCCGCCGCGGGTTCGGGCGCCGGGCCGGGCGCGGCGGGGTGGCCCAGCAGGTGTTTCCTTAGGTAGGCCTGCCGCCGGAACCGGCGGGCGCAGCGCGGGCACTCGAACAGCCCCTCCTCGGAGCCCGCCTCCGAAGCGCCGCCGGGGCTCGGCGTGTCCCGCTCCGCCGCCGTCGCCGCCGCCTCCTTGGGGGGCTCCGCCGCCTCGGGGCCGCTCTTGGCGGGGGGCCGCGGTTTGTGCCAGCGGCGGTGCGAGGCGAGGTTGGCGGGGCAGGAGAACACCTTGTCGCACTCGGGGCAGCGGTACTCCACGCGGACGATGCGCGAGCAGCGGTGCTGCGCCAGCGCGAAGGGATCGCCGTACTCCTCCTTGCAGAGCTGGCAGATGAACTCGCCCAGCGGCCGCGCGCAGCCCCCGCGCCGCGCCGGCGCCTCCACCGGGCCCTCCTTGATGCGCAGCCCCAGCACCGGGGACGTGGTCACCTCGTCCTCGAAGGTCAGCTTGCGGATCGCCTTCGCCTTCTTGCCGGCCACGGCCTTCTGCCGGCCGGGCTCGGCGGGACGCTTGGCGGCCGGAGCGCCGCCGCCGCCGCCGCCGCTGGGGTTGGGGGGCGGCCGGGCGGCCCAGAGCTTGAGCTCGGCGGGGCCGAGCAGCAGCGGGTCCATGCTGCTGGGCACGGCGGGCGCAGGGAACGACTCGGCCGAGACGGGCGAACCCAGGCTGAAACCGCGCTCCAGCAGCGCGTCGCGGCTGACGGGCCGCGTGGGGCTGCGCAGCGCTTGCACGGGGCCATCGGGCGTCCCGAAGGGCACGGGAGGAGGAGGCGGCGGCGGCGGGGCAGGAGGGGGAGGCGGCGGCGGAGCGGTGGGCGGAGGGGCGCGCACCCGGTAGGACACGGGCGTGGGCCGCCGGCTGCGCTTCACCAGGAAACCGCGGGGCATCTTCGGGCGGGCGGTCCGCGCCCGGCGGCGGCGAGCGGCGCTCCCTCCTCCTCCTGCCCGCCGCCGCCGCCGCCTTTAAGAGGGCCGGGGCCATTGTTCGGCCCGGCGGCGGCGGGCGCGGCCAATCAGCGGCGGCGGCGGGCGGGGCGGCGGCACCTGAGCCCCGCGGCCGGCACACGCCCGGCCCGCCCCCGGCACGCGTGGCCCTTTGTGCGCGCGGGGCCGCTCCGGGCGCCGGCCGCGCTCTTTCTTTCCCCGCTCGCGGCTCCGAAGGCGCGGGGCCGTGCCCGCCGGGCCGCGGGCGTCGCCGAGCGGGAGACCGGGCCGCCACCTGTTAGCGCCGCGCCCGCTCCCCCGCCGCCGGTGCCCGCCCCGCGCCCCTTTGTCCCCCGGCCCCGCAGGTGGCGGCGCGGCGGGGGGGCGGCGAGCAGCCGGCGGGGACCCCCCCCATACCGCCCCCCGTTCCCCTCCCCTCTCTCTCCTCCTCCCCCTCCCCTCCCCGTCTCCCGAGGGAGGCACGCGGGCGGCACGCGCTCGGCCCCCCCGAGCCCCCCGCGGCCGCCTTTGTGCCGGGCATTAGCATAAAGCTGCGCGGAGCCGGCACAAAGGGGCGGCGGGGGGAGGAAGGAGGGGACAAAGGGAGGGGAGGGGGGCCGGGGGTCGGGAGCGCGGGGCGGGGCGGCCATTAGCATACAGCTGCGGGCACGCGCCGCCGCGCCCCCCCCGCCGCGCCCCACGCGCGGACCCCCGACGCCCCCCCCCAACCCCAACCCCCACCGCGGTCCCGGGTCGGAGCGGTCGCGGCCGCCAGGCGGAGCTCGGCGCCCCGCTCCACGCTCACCTGCCGGCCGGCCGCGGGCGTACATGGGCAGCTGCGCGCCGTGCCGCAGCAGGTAGCGCACGGCCGAGCGAGCGAGCGGCGGCGGGACGGGGCTGTCCTCGGTCTGCCGCTCCGCGGGAACCTGCGGGGAAAGAGAGTCGCGAGTCGTTCGGGTGCGCCCGCGGGAGCGCTGCGCTTCCCTGCCATCCCCTCCCGTACCCCGAGCCCCTTGGGAGGAGCCGGCGGAGCGGCGCGGCGCTTCGGGTGGGCGCCGTTCCCGCAGCGGCCCTCCTGCAGTCAGCAGCTCGGTGGGGTGTCAGCCACGGCCCGTGGTTCGAGGTGGCGGTTTGGGTTCGGAGCTGTGGGACTGTATGGCTCTTGTCTGCAGTGTAAGGCTTCGGGCAGCATCAGTGGGCATTTGATCCGTCTTTACTCGGGAAATTCACCCGTGGCTGAGAAAAAATCAGTTGCCCTTCGTTCCCTGTGGGGAGGTGCTGAGAAACCCGCTGCCCGCAGGCTCGCCTGAGGCAGGTTTAGGTTGGCATTCGGTGTATTCCGATTAGGAAACACCTGGAAAGTGGTAAGAAATGAGGTGGGGATTTCTGGCAGGCCGCTTGTGCTGCGTGGGAAAACGGAGCAACTTCGCGGGGAGTGCTGCTGGCACATCGGAAAACCCAGCAAAGACTGAGAGGAACCAGCAGGGCAGCGGGTGTGGGATGTGTGCAGGAAATAGCTCGACAGGAGCACGGAGCTTCGGGAGAAAGATGGGAGAAGGAACTGAAAGCGAACAGCACGGACAGATGACCCAAATGATAAAATGGCATTTCTCTCACCTGCTCTGACAGCAGGATCTGGCGCAGCTCCTTCTGGAGGTCGATAAAGCGGTCGTGATAGATGGCCATGGACCACGGCTCCCTGAAGTAGCTGGTTAAAAAAGAAGAAATTTAGTTATCTCGTGAACCTCTCATTAACCGCTAATAAAGTATTTACCTGCTTTTTCGCCTTTATAAATGACAGTTCTGGACCCATCAGGATCGTTTGTTCGTGAAATGCCTCTCGCAACAGCATGGCCAATCAATTCTTTTAATGGATGTTCCTGATGTACAGCCAGCTCCAGTAATTACATTTAAAGTGGCTTAATTCAGAGCTGTGGCAAGACCCAGTGAAGAATCCTGATTTTATCAGAATTTAAAAGCCCAAAGACCTGTAAAGAACGGTGTCTCCATTATCTGTCCTCATTTGAGAAAAGCAGATTGCAGGATTAACTGAACTGCTGCATAAACAAATTAAATTTGTGTAGACAATGACACAAATGTTGTTCATCATTAAGGTTTCTGGATTAATAAAGGCCAGAAAAACAGGCCACCGCAGTGTTGCAATATGTTCCTTGCAGCAGTGTGCTGAGGCTCAGTGCTCTTACTGATGCTGTTACAAACGCCGGAAGGTTGGATGTGAGATTTGCTCGAGCTGAGCCCTGCTTCAGGTACCTTTCTTTGAAGCATGACATGCCTGTAAGGAGCGGGCAGCAGGAGAAGAGGATATTCCCCAAATATTTAATCTAAGTTCCGTTTCAGGAGAAAAATCCCACCCAACCCAAACCGTTAGCTCAGTGTTAGCATGGGGATGATCACACTGCGCTGTGTTTATGTTGTTTACTGTGCTGCTGCTACCATCACCTGCACAGCACGACCAAAAAAACCTGCTTTTTTTGTGCACATCAGCATTCCCACACGTGGAGCTCCTTCCCTTCACCTGAAGAAATGTGACCATCCGAGGCCGTTCAAAGAAGCGCTTGATGGAATCAATTCTCACTTCCGTTGCTGGCCCTGCGTTTTCCTTCTTCCCCACTGGAATCACCTTTCTAAAGGAACACATGGTGCTTTGGAGGAGGCAGATCCGCATATGGCCCTTCACGTTGGTAATAATGAGAAGAGCCCATCTGAAGCCAAACCAACAAGTCGACTTTGGGAGGCTCGTTCAGAGTTTTATTGCCACTTCAGCAGCAGTCCCTCAGGGCAAGCCGGAGAAAGCTTGAAAGTATAATGCTCTTCAGTATACAAGCTGGAGCTGGCAAGCTACCAACAGAGGCTCAAAGGCTCCTGGGCTATCATGAGAACGGCATCTGCCACATGTGTTTGCACCATTTAGTCTTTCATAACTTGCCAGAGCGATCAGGCTAAATATGTACAAGATGACAATGTTTGCCAGGAGCATAACGGGTTTTCAGACTCCTGGTCACTTCCTAACGGGGATCCCCTGCTGGCAGACTTTTATATCGGCAGAGGAGATCAGGGGAAGGAATCTGTAAGGAGATGGGATGAAATGGTCTCCTTTTGAAGACATCCTTTTTGTTGCTAGGAAGCTCCTCTTGCCTTTCACTGACAATCAGCATCTAAAGTCTGTTCTGCCTCATTTGTGATGTATGGCCGATACGAGATGAAAGGGAAGGAGAAAAATATTTAGTGGCATCTTTTACAAAAGACAGGGGATCTTCCTCTCGCAAAGAGACACAGCGGAACAAAAAATGGATCAAGTTGGCCATTGCTAGCAAGCAGAAATGGAGTATGCATGGAAATGCTTTCAGTCTGAAAGCTCCGTTCTCCATTTCATTTGCAGCTGCACACCTTTTGTCTCCCGGGGTTCATTCTGATGCTGCCACACTCCAGTGATGGAGGAACTGGCCCCAACCTCCAGCCGCGCTGCCATCCTAAGGTGGGTACAGCAGAGGGAGGACGCATAGGAAGAGGAGGGGATTCCAGTGCCAGGGAGTGTGGAGGGGAAGCTGCTGGGATGGGTTGGGATGGAGCACACTGGAAGAACTGTCCCCTTTTGCCAAGAAAAGAGAAGATGCATCAATCTAGGGCTGGAAATTGGAGATGTTTCCTGCTTTTACTAGCTTGCAGCTGTTGCTGAGTTCTCACCAAACTGTTCTTTACACTTTCGAAACTCTGTGCTTTTAAAGAAAGACATAAAAGCGTTGCGTTCTGCTCGGAGAGAAAATTACTGCTGACCCTGAGGAAAGGTTTATTGCATTTCTGCACACAGGACTATCCCATGTGTAATGCATTGTGAAAAACAATTAAAAGGAAATTAAACCTGACTCACATCAGCAAATACGCTGCGTATAGTGGTACGATCACTTCTCTGTAATTACTCGTTTATGACTTCAGAGCTCAGTCATTCATAAGGGCCTGTGTAATTATCAATATGAATCAGCAGTGTTGGACCACAGATCGGTGTGGTAGAATTCAGCTGACCAGCCTTTACTTACTGATTTGGATGTGGGTTTCTCGTTGGCAAGTCGGCTGCACCTTAGAAACTATATTAATATATAAAAAAGGAAAGTCACCTAAAGGGTTCTACCATTTATACTGCTTTGCTATCAAAGCACAGCTTCACCGGGGCACCTCGGGGTCAGCGTTGAATTCCAGTATGAAAAATAGCTGTTAGTGCTTTGATATCCCTTCACGTGTTCCTTTCTCCTTACGCTGTCCCTCTTTCCATAAAAAGCACACGTTTTTTCCTCTAATTAGGCTGCCAAGTGTACTGAGCAGCATTAGCCCCTCTCAGCCCTGCTCGCTACCTGCCACATTTTCTCCCTGCTTTTTTTCATCCCCGCAGAAAATAAGTCTCACTGTCTGCAGGGTGAACAAAAGCCTAAGGTGGAATCCCTTCAATGTGATGGTGGTGTGCTAATGGTGTGGGACGTGGCCAACCCCAGACAGCGCTGCGTTGTAGCATTTCTCTTAATGAACAATCGCCCTTCATTTTTGAAAGCCCTTTTTAAAGCCAGCCTATGTATGGAGCACGTATTTCATGCTTAATCGCTGATTATTCCAGGCTGCATTAAACGTATATCCTCACCTCGTCCTTTGAAAAATAGCACTGCACACACTGAATGTTCTTTTTCCTATTTCTTCAGTTATGTTGTGAGGTTGATTAGAGTTGAGTCATTAGACAGTGCGGTGTGGTTGCTTCTGCCTAAGCCTTCATTAATGACAGTGATTAGTAAATAACCTTTAGCCTCATGTAAAGAGGACTATGATGTGTGAACTGAACTTAAGCAGAAAAAGCCAAGTGGGGATGTGGCACTGAGGGATGTGGTCAGTGGGCATGGTGGGGATGGGTTGGTGGTTGGACTGGATGATCCTAGTGGTCTTTTCCACCTTGATGATTCTATGACTCTACACATTAGCAAGCATTTCAGACCAGCAGGAGTGGAAGGACACCCACACTGAACATGTTTCGGGTTCTTCTGCTGATCTCACTTGGACCACCTCTCACGTGGTCCCACAGACAGGACACCAGAGTGCTGCTGGGGTTCCTCTGAAGGCACTCAGAGCTGAGATGGCTCTGGGATGCAGATTAAAGCAGAGCGAGTGCAGATGGCTAAAACACATTTCTGGCATAAATGCAATATCAGTAGAGCACTTCGTACCCTGTGTTTTGTGTTACTCAAAGCGCGTTGCCCCATCGTGCGTTAGTCTACCACCATACTTTACAATCTGTTGAATACCAGAAGGGCTAAATGTACAGCAGTTTACTGACTTCAGCATTACACGTAGAGTAAATGTGGTGAATAGAATCACCACAGAATCACAGAGTGGCTGGGGTGGAAGGGACCTCAAAGCCCCCCCAGTTGCAACCCCTGCCGTGGGCTGGTTGCCCCCCACCAGCTCAGGCTGCCCAGGGCCCATCCAATCCAACCAGGCCTTGAGCAGCTACAAGAAGAAACTTCTGAAAAAGGATGGCTAAGCAACACAGCACTTCAGAGGGTGCCTGTTAGAAACTGATCAGCTTAATCATGCTGCCTCTACCAGGATTATTTATCACTGGCAGCCCAAACACATGTTGTTTCCTTCAGCACTGCACTCCCTGTCATGCAGTAGTGGTGCTCCTTTCCTCAGCAGCACTGTCCCTTCCTTGTTAACCCGCATTTTCTGCAGGTCATAATCCTTGTTAACCCGCATTTTCTGCAGGTCATAACTAAAGACAAGTTCATTAATACAGTATTACAAATTTGGCTTTCATTAATGCCAAATGAAGCCTATATGAAGCGCTTCTATCTCATCCTAAAGGCACCGTGCCAGCGAGCATCCATTTGGAGCCTCTCCAATGATCTGTTTTGTGCTCCAGATGCAGTAGAGGGATATTCCACTGCTCTGCAGACACGTTCCATAACTCAGCAACTGCCTTACAGGAGAATACAAAAGGGTATGACTGGTTGGTTGCATTCCCCCTTCGGGAAGCAAGTGTGGAGCACTGGTGACCAAAGCCAACCCACAAGCTTGAAATTAAAATTATATTTTGGGAGTTTTTCCATATCTCCTTCTTTTATCTGCTGCTGCAGTGGTGGGAGGGATTGGAAGGCTTTCAGTACAGGGAATACTGATATTAAACCTACAGGAATTTATGTT